ACTACTAAACCCTGAAACCCTAAACCCCAAAGGACAAACCCGAAACACAGAATTGCCAAGTCACATTGTCGCGGGGTCGATCGAAGGCCCTGCAGCACTTAGATCTACATTGGTATACGGTTTCGGGTTTTGGAGTTGTCGGGTTGAGGACGTGGGCTTTTTGAGAGCTTTATGGTTTAGGGTGTTAAGGCTTAGGGCTTTGGGGGTTGAGGCGAGGGCTTTACGGTTTAGGGTTTAGTATTTCGGAAGTTTCGGCTTCAGGGTTTCGGAAGTTTCGGCTTCAGGGTTTCGGAAGTTTCGGCTTCAGGGTTTTGGAAGTTTCGGCTTGAGGGTGGTGGTGTTTATAAGCCTTAAACCTACCCCCGGGGAAGGGACCCAGTACTGAGAATACGACTTTGGGGTTTAGGGTTTAGTTTAGGGTTTAGGGTTTAGGGTTTAGGGTATAGGGTTTAGGGTTTAGGGTATACCATACTTGTCATTATAGTAAGAACACTAAGGAATGCATCTTTTTGAAGTAGGCATCAGAGGGTCCAAGGACGTTACCATTGTGGAACTAAGCCCACTAAGACCAGTCTATCCATAGTCTTGGAGGGACCTAATTCCATACAAGTAGTGCATACACACTCTGCGCACACATTATATATGGATCCTCGTGGGAATATACTACAGACCCTCAAACTGACAGGAATAGAGTGTAGAGTATAGGGTCCTGGGTCCTAATAATGTAACGTTACGGTATCGGTGTATGGTGGTTTGGTTTTGCCTGTCTTGTTTAGAGCTTAAGATCTACTAAGCCTAGTACTCAAACGACATGACTGAACCTTCAAGCAAGACCAACCTCGAAAAGGACAACCCTACACCCTAAACACCATCAGACCCTGAGCAACAAAATGTCCTCAACCCGAAACCCCCACAGGCCCCAATTCCTCAAGCCCTTCACTCCGGATTCAGGAGTGGGTGACTCTTTTGCGGTGACAGAAGACAATCCTACAATCCAGAGTCTAAAACTCGCACACACGCTTTTACACAAAAGTCATAACCCGCTCATAATGCCCCGATACGACCCTATAACATCGCTTACACAATTTAGAACCTTTTATGATAACCCTAGATTGGTTTATCAATCAGCCCCTTTACAGAACCATTCTTTGGACAAACTGAGACCCACGCATGACTGCAGATCCTGCTTCAAAGCCTGCGGAGAACGGCGGTAGCAGTTGTCGTAGCAGCCGTCGTTGCAGTACAGGAGACGACTGAACCCAAACCCTCAAACCACCCAATTTACCTCAAACCCCAAGCCCTCATTGCATCGCATGTGTTTGTAGAACTGACGGGCCTAAGCGAAGTGCAAAGCCTTGACGGGATTTATGTGTGTATCTGGAACGGATGTCGCAACTCTCACACCTACCACTTTCCATCTAGCAGCCAGCGCTAGGAGGCGGCTGATTTCAGAAACTCTGTGGTGGTAAGGCTGGCCTTCAATGCCATAATTACCCCAAAATCCGCTAAACCCTAAACCCCTCGAGGCCGTAGAGCCTCAACCCTAAACCTGTAAACCCGAAATCTTGAACCCCTAAACCTTAACCCTAAACCTGAAACCCTTAGAGCCCTAAACCCTAAACCCCTGGAGTCCTTAAAGGGTTCCTTTAAAAGGCTGCCTTGTTTTAGGATTTAGTGATAGTTATAGCGTTCTAACCCTTGAAGCCCTAAACCACTAACCCTGTAGATCCCATATAGGAACCCTTAAAGAAACCCTTACAGTTCCCTTTAAAGGATCCCTATAAGCCCTAAACCCCTAAGCCTAAACCGGGACACTGCTGCTTCTTCCCTTGCACTCAGTCGGGGCTGGGGTTGCGGATTTGGGTCGGGGGCTCCTGGCTTAGGGTCGACCTGGACCCTATAAAACCTTCCGTCTTAGGGTTATTCCCCCATTATGATTTCCTTGTATATGTCTTCATGACTAGTAATTAGAGGTGATAAGTAATGAGGTAACATTTGCTTCTGATGAGCTATAACTCCAGTTAAGGTACTTATATTCCCAATCTAAGTTGCTAGAGGTGTCGCAAAACAGGCAGACTTGGTCTTCGGTTATTCAGCGTGTCCGTAGTTCTTGGCGTCGCCCACGGGATGCCGACGGTGCCCCACGGCAGTGAAAAAGGTACTTATAACTGTACTTACTAAGTCCCAAGAACCTCCAAGTAGGGTTGAGGGTTTAGGGCGCAGGGTAGTTCAGGGCTTCGGATTTAAAGGGAACTCCAGAAAGTTGGAATATGGTTTCAGGGTAGGATACCTTATAATTTACCACAAAGGGTTTAGGATAATCATATTCCAACTTTCTGGCTTTTACCTTAGGGTTAGGGCTGCTGATCAGGGCCTGCTGCAGTTGCCTACAGTGAGTTATGTCACCCACCAGTAACCCTGAACCCTAAACTGCTCCTGGGGAAACACAAACCCTGGAGCGCAAGCCGAATCCATAAAACCCTCAACAACCTTATGAACCCTAAAGAATACCACAGGAATTCCAAACTTGCTATAAATGGTAACTATGCTTATATAAGGGCCTCAATATTCAGAATAGTTTGGTGAGACATATTGTACTGAAACCAGAATAAGGAACCCTCACATTGGTAAGTATTAAGGCCCTTGTATTATCGTAAACTTTATGTCAATGTAGCATCCCTTTTCGAAACCCTCATAGACGCATTATAGAACCCTTAAGCAACCTTTCCCACCCCACCGAACAAACCTTAGGCCCTTTTTAGCCCAAGCCCTTCAAGGCACCCACGAAAGTTGTAAGCACTGAGCACCTAAAAGCCCCCCACACTCAAAACTCTGAACGGAAATCATCAACCCTACCAGGACCCCCCAAGTGCCCCTTAACTGAAGACCCCATTGCTTGTTACCTGCTCTGCTACCACGATTATCTGGAGGAACCACCAAGCCCTAAATCCAAAACTCTAAACCCCGAACCCTAACTCCTAAACCCTAAACCCCTAACCCTAAGCCCTTATAAACCTTAAACTCCTGAACCCGTCGACGCCACCAACAGAATGCTGTCCTTCTAGGAGCTGCTGGCGGATTTTCGCAGGAAGGGGCGGTTTGGCAATGTAGGCCTCGGGGAGGACCACAGGTTTAGGGTTTAGCCTTGTCCTTTTCCATGGTTCCCCCAAAAGGATAAACAGACCGGCTAGTAGACCTTCTTAAAAAAGTCCTACTATAAGGGATATAGGTATAGGCCTCTGTCTATTATTTCTAAAATGACAAGGGTGGTTTAGGGTTTAGGGCTTAGGGATTAGGGGTTTAGGGGTTTCGGGTTTTAGGGGTTTAGGGTTTAGCCTAAACCCTAAACCCTAAACCCTAAACCTAAACCCTAAACCTAAACCCTAAACCCTTTAGGAGCCATCGGGACTCCTAGGGCTCCTTTAAGGGATCCTTACGGGTTACTAATTGGAATAAGGGTTCCTTTCAAAAGGGCTCCTTTAAAAGGGGTCTGTAAGAATTACTACAAGGGGTGTTATAAGGGTTTAGTATAGGGGCCTTGATAATTAGAGTAGGGTTTTGGGGACTGTGCTGTAATTATACTGTAATAATAATAAGGACCCCACCCCCAAGGTCTATCACTGAAGTCCCTTATAGAACCCTTAGAGATCCCCGGTAGTCTTGGGCCCAAGTGTCTAGGCAGAAAGGGTTGGGGCTCTGCACCCACTACGGTTCAGGGTTTAGGGTTGAGGGCCTAGGGTTTCGGGTTTAGGGTTCAGGGTTCTCACCATTGTTGGAGGTTCAGGCAAAGTAGTAACTAAGGTTATATACAAGATGACTATACTTTTGATTTCTTGTAGCCTTAATTAAATAATGTAGCTATAACTTTGCTTACTAAGTCCCCGGATCCTCCAACTAAACCCTAAACCCGAGAGCCCTAAACCACTTGGAATGTAGCGTTGAGTTCAACATCCCTACACCTTAAGCTTGTCGCTTTCGGTTTAGGGCTTACGGTGGATCAGCGCTGGGGGTGTAAAAATGTGATAAGGATGTGTGAGGTTCTTCCAGGAAGTGCAATATGTGAACTTCTTCGAACTACGTGTTTCACACTTGGGCTCCTGGAACACGAAGAAAGTGCTCGCTCCTTCCCAAAAGGCGTTCGAAGGATAATTTGTAGACCTTGACCACGCTTAATCCATGAGCTAAAGCCACACTTCCGACTTGTGCCGTACCCCATTCACTCTACAACAGGTATTGAACACATATATAACTCTAATCACTAAATCCCAAACCCAGGGACCTGTGTATTTACGTTACAGTACTGAATAGCATTCCTATGTGAACCATAGTTGCCAAAGGCCTAGTGAAATTCTCTGAAATTATTATGCCGCCCTACCTAAGACCCCTGATTCCCCAAATTCTCAACCACCCTAAACCCCAAAACCCAAAACCCTAAACCCTAAGCCTCAAACCCTCAGCCCTGAACCCTCCCGGTCTGACTTCTGAGCTCTGAGGTCGCAGCTTTAAACGATGCCACCATCTCCCGACTCCTGATGCAGGCCGCGCGCGGTTTAGGGTTTAGGGCTTAGATGTTCGTTCATTCGTCGGGAACCGTAAGCCGTACCTGAAGGTTCATGGGACTGAGCAACTAATGGTTGTAAATCAGGGAACTGTACTTGTAGTTTTTTATTATACTTACTTATAACATCAATTCAGGTACTTATAACAGTACTTACTAAGTCCCATGAACCCTAAACCCTGAACTCCCTCAAGCACCTGCTTCCTGAGTTCTAAACCCTGAACGGACACATGCTGGGGTTTAGGGTTTAGGGTGATTCATATGGGTTTCAACACTCACGAAGTCCATCCTACCTAAAGAACTGCTCTGGCCATATGGGTGGTTGTCGAAATGAGGGTCCCTTTTTGGGTACCCAAAATTAGGTGCCGTATTATAATAAGGACCCAAAAAGGGACCCTAATTTTGACAGCTACCCATATTACATACACCCTCAAAGACTGGTCTATAACATCACGCAGTGCTGCCTCACCACTGCAGCTCTCAACTCGCCCATGTGCTCGTACTCCTGGGAAAGGGTCGGCAGGCATACGTGATGGGTTCTTTCCAAAGTCATATGAGGGACCCCCAATAACTTAGTTATAAAAAGGAACCCCAAGCAAGTATAGATAATTAGTAAGGGCCCCCCCCACCCCCAAGGGTAAGCCCAAAACCAACCTAAACTTCCTGAACTGCAGGGGCGTGCGATTCAGAGTTGAAGTTGCCGCGCACCCATATAGCTCATGCTTTTCTGAAAGGTCAACAGTCAACCCAACGGCCCTGATCTACATACTACATTTACATAGAATACCAAAGCTTGAAAAACTACTGTTGATGGACAAGAATCCTGCATGACCTTCAGGACCCTAAACTATGGGAACTATGGTGTATTCCTTATAATGGGTAATGCAGGATTTTGTCCATCAGCCGTACATATAGAAGACCGAAGTCTGAACAACTATAGAATACCGACGTCTGAGTAACTACCTAAACCCTAAGGAACCTACCTTTTTAGGGTTCCCTAATATGATTTCTTTATATAAGTCCTTGAAAAGGTAGGCGTCGTGGGGTTAAGGTACAGTAATACTAGTTGTAGAAAGAGACCAATTTTACAATGATACTATACTAAACTCCAAAACCATAACCTAATCATTACAACCACTGTATTGATACACGGTGCCGTTTCGGGGTGTTCGGGTCAGGATTTTAGGTTCATGGTCTTGCGGGCCTGCTGTCTAGAGGAGTCATGCGAGCTTGCAAGAACAGTTGCAGGCAAGGTAAGACTGGTCATAGATATCTACGGGCAATGACAACCAGGGTACGTTGAGCATATAATTCTACCACCTAAACATGCTTAAACACTAACCCTAAACCCTAAACCGCAAACCCAAGTTTTCCAGTCAACGCCTAAACATGCCTGAACCCTAAGATGCCCTGGAATCCAGCGTCTACTTCCTTAAGATTCCCCAGGGACTCCTTCAGCCAGCTGTGGAACATCCGCAAGTGTCGGTTAGCCGCCTGGCCCGAAGACATCATGATTTAGGATTTAGGGTTCAAGGTTAAAGGTTTAAGGCTCCAAATAGCCCAATGTAGGTAGTAGTTATTATGCAACTTGCTGCTCTAAGGGGGGTCATACCTGCTTCATGGTTGTACCTTCTTACACGGGCATGGTTTCGTATAGGATGCTTAGGCCCTAAAGGGCTTATCTTATTTGCAGGTGTCTTGGTTCGAAGCTCCACCATCAGACACGGGGCAGGGGTAAAACCCAATCCTGATACTGGTAACGATAGAAGTGATAGTAGCAAGGAACATCATGAGTCAAGGCTCTGGAAACAACCGTTTTCCACAAATGCACCTAAAACACCCGCGAACCCTAAAACACCGAAGACAAACACACGCACGAGAGAACTCAACTGTCGGACAGACGCCGCCTTGGGGCAGAGCTTCTTGAGGAAGGCAGTAAAGGAAATCTTCACCTTAGCCGAAACCAAATCCCCAAAACCGTTTAGCTCAGGATGAGTTTAGGGCTGAGCCTGAGCTCTAAACCCTAAACCCTAAACCCTGAGCCCTAAACCCTAAACCCTGAACCCTAAACCCTAAACCCTAAACCCTGAACCCTAAACCCTAAACCCTAAACCCTGAACCCTAAACCCTAAACCCTAAACCCTGAGCCCTAAACCCTGAACCCCATGCACTGTTTCGACTCTAGGGTTGCTTTAGGCTTTAGGTTTTCGAGATAGAGCCTCGGTTCAGTGATTTAAGGTCTGGGGTTGTAGAGTTTAGGGATCGGTTTAGGGTTTAGGGATTTTTTTTGGACTCCTCCTAGGTTCAGAGTTCAGGGATTTAGAGTTAAATAGGGGCTTAAGCCTTCCGTTAACCCTGAAGGACATACCTTTTTTAAGGACTTATAGGGAACTCCAGAAAGTTGGAATATGGTTTCATGGTAGGATACCCTATAATTTGCCATAGAAGGGTTCGGATAATCATATTCCAACTTTCTGGCTTTTACCGATTATACAAGGAAATCATAATAAGGAACCCTAAAAGGTAGGTTTTTCAGGGTTGAGGCCTCGGGCTCCTGTACAGATGGCACCTAAACCTCGCGTCTTCCACCGAGTCACTCCGTTGTGGCGCGCAGCATCCATTTCATCGAGGGCTCGGTGGAGTTTGCCTATCCAGAACTTCCTGAGGTCAGGTTTGGGGGTGTAGGGTTTCGGGTTTGAGGCGTTGGGGTTTGTTGTGTATTGTTCCGGCTGTAGGATGTACCTATAGGGCCATACCCTACCACCTTTCGAGAGTACCTACTTGTCTGCTATATAGCAGATCCTAGCTATAAACCCATGCACCCTAAAACAGGGGCAGGGCATGAACTAGGTAGGGTTCAGGTTCTGGGAGTACAGGTTTAATTAGTTTAGCTGAGGAGTCTACTTGGCCCCAAACGGTTTGCTATTGGTAACACTAAACATCGCTGAACCCTAACCTCTGAATAAATCCCAAGCCCCCAAATATATGCTCCCTTCTTAAGGACGTTTATCAGCAAACCAGAAGATGGGACCCTGAGAATCCAGGCTGGATAGGGCTCCGAAGGACACCCTCAAACCTTTCATGTTGCCAGGTTGATTTTTTGTCATGAGCGACCATCTGTATGTTCAAATTTAAAACCTGCACTAGACGGCCCTTCTGACGGATTACATGTATACCTTAAACTACCAAACCCTACTTGTTTGCACGTTCTTATGATCTTAGGTTATAAGGTACAGACATACACACGCAATACAACAAAACCAGGTTTCCTTCGTAGAATCTTACGTTTGGTTAGTAGGGAATGGAGGAATGGGGTACAAGTATAACTATTATTACTACCATTCTTCCATTCCCTACTAACCAAAGTAAGGAATGGCTGCAGGCAGGGCACGGATCGATGGCGACACCAGCGATTCGCTCCGCATCTGCGTGGGAGATGTCGAAGGTTCCTTTGGAAGCGCCTTGGCTTCAGGCGCTTGGGGGGACTTGGGGCTTCTAGGGTGTATCGGGGTTTATGGGTTTAGGGTCTACACGGGTTTAGGGGTTTGGGGTTTAGGGCTTCAGGGTTTAGGCTTTAGGGCTTTAGGATTTAGGGTTTAGGGCTCTCCGTAAACCCTAAACCCTGAACCCTAAACACCCTAAACCCTAAACCGGGTTTCTTATGATGTGGGAAGTCCTCCTTGGAGGCGCCTTGGCTTGAGGGACGAAGCCTAGGGCCTGGGTTTTTGGGGTTTAGGGGTTTGGGGTTTAGGGGTTCGGGGTTTAGTGGTTTGGGGTTTAGGGGTTTAGGGGTTTAGGGTTTAGGGGTTTAGGGGTTTTGGGGTTTAGGGGTTTAGGGGTTTAGGGGTTTAGGGATTAGGGGTTTGGGGGTTTGGGGTCTAGGGGTTTGGGGTTTAGGGGTTTGGGGTTTCGGGGTTTGGGGTTTAGGGGTTTGTGGTTTGGGGATTTAGGGGTTTGGGGTCTGGGGGTTTGGGGTTTAGGGGTTTGGGGGTTTGGGGTTTAGGGGTTTAGGGGTTTGGGGTTGAGGTTTTTAGGGTTTGAGATTTCTTTGTCATGATGTTGCTGAACTTTGATGAGTCAGCGAAGGTTCTGCCGGTTCCGGGGCTTGTTCTTGGACTTCGGGCCTTGTGGGCCTTTAGATTCACGCGCTTAGGCTTCGAGGTTCAAGGAGTAGATTTTGCTATCTACATGTTAAAAATTATCCAACTGATAATGAGTGGGGGCAGTATCCAAAGGAGAATTTTATTGGTTCAGGTTTAGGGCTTAATAGGGGTTCAGGGTTAGACATCTAGGGTTTGTGGTTTAAGGTTCGGGTGTTCTTCCGGCAACGATTCGAATCTCCCATGGTGTAGGCTTTGGTTCTCACCTAGCTTCTGGGCAATCAGCGTTTACGGCTTAGGACTAGGGATTTAGTTTAGGAGTTTTGTGGTTTACCTGTTTCCCCAAACCCTACAAAATAGTAGGTTATGACCCCTTAATTGGAGGGTCGAACCCTTAAAAGGGTAGGTTTTCGAATCCCAAGGTAGGGGTTAGTTTAGGCGTGTAGTGCTTTGTGTAACCCCCCAGCTCAGACACGACCAGACTACCATTGTCCTTGCCTGCAAATTCCACCACCCTGGACCCCTAAACCCCTAACCCCTAAACCCATAAACCCTAAACCCTAAACCCTATAAACCCTAAACCCTAAACCCCTAACCCCTAAACCCCTAAACTCTAAACCCTATAAACCCTAAACCCTAAACCCCTAAACCCTATAAACCCTAAACCCCTAAACCCCTAAACCCTAAACCCCTAAACCCTAAACCATCATACAGCAAGACTCCAGCGCCCGGCCTCGGCCCCCTAAGCCTCTTCGATCGAAAGCCGTGCACTCAAATCAGGCTGACTCGCTGGCTTCAGCACCTCCCTTAACCCCAAGTAACCTACCTTTTTATATATAAAAACATCATATTAGGGAACCCTAAAAAGGTAGGTCCCTTAGGGCCCAGGTCTCGAAGCCAAGCCGCAATGTTGAAAAATCACATTCACTTGTACCACCTCGTCACCTCAGGCAACAACACCCTTAACCCTAAACCCTAAACCCTAAACCCTAAACCCTAAACCCTAAACCCTAAACCCTAAACCCTAAACCCTAAACCCTAAACCCTAAACCTGGGGTCGGAGGATTGAGGCTTTAGGACAGTGTAAGGCTTTCGACAGCGCGTGGGATTTCAGAGTCGTTCAGGGTATACGCTTCGGGGCTTCTTCCTCTTCCACGACCCCCCGTGATTGGCCCTTTAACGGAACCCTTATGGTCCTTAATAGTGGGTATTTGGGGTATATTAGAGGGTAGTTGGGGGGTCTAGGTTGGCTCGCATGCGTTTAGTTCAGGTTGGAGACGTCAAGATTCCAGGCGGAAGCCATGGTGCAAACCCTCAGCCCTGAAACCCTGAATTGAGGGTTTAATTTAAGGCTTGACCCTGGGTTTGGGGTTTAAGGCTAGAGGCATAAGCCCCTTGGATCCCAAATAGAAATGATGGGAGGCAAAACCCATTGGATTGAAATTATGGGAACCATTGAGCAGTGGTAATACCCTGGGAATCAAAATCGCCCAAACGCCTCATATAGACTGGTCTTTGGGCCCAAAAGCCTTAATACATGATTCCTTGGAGCCCTAGGGATAGTGAAAGTTCATGTCGAGGAGAGGCCAGAGAGACATAACAACGGTTTCGGGTTTAGGGTTTAGGGGCTTAGGGGTTTAGGGTTTCGGGTGAACGGGGGAGGCTGCTAATTTAGAAAGGCGAGATGGGGAACTTCCACAGAAAGAGTCGCAAGACTGAACTCATAGTTGAAACCTTACATGCAACTGCAAGCCCTACAAACCTGAACCCTAAACCTGCAACTGCAAACCCTACAAACCGGAAACACCACTGGAGTAAGAGTCGGCAGACGCCCTACCGGGATACCCTAAACTCAAATCCCGAGACCCTACAATGAAAACCAGCATCAGAAATCAAGGAGCCACAGTATTTTCAGCGTGCCCCGACAAACCCATAGACCCTAAACCCCTAAACTCTAAACCCTAAACCCTAAACCCAAACCCTAGACCCTAGACCCTAAACCCCTGAGCACCTAAACCCCAAACCAAGGCAAAGTCGCGACATAAAAAGCTGCCATCCAACGATGCAGCAGTTTCCTGGGAGCACAACACCCAACAAAAAACGTGCCTCAAACCGAGACCCGGAAGTCTTTGGGGTTTTGGGGTTTAGGGGTTTAGGGTTTAGGGGTTTGGGGTTTAGGGGTTTAGGGGTTTAGGGTTTAGGGGTTTAGGGGTTTGGGGGTTTAGGGATTTAGGGTTTACGCTTTGGGGTTTCGGAGTTCAGGATGTGGCAGTTTAGGGTAGAGTTCAAGGCTTTGGGCCCTCAACCCTGGCCCTACCCTGGGCATCAAAATAGCCCAAAAGCCTTACATAGTATGGTCTTTGGGCCCAAAAGCCTCAATATATGAGTCCTTGGATGCCTAGGGCTAGACAAGACAACGTGAGCGGCAAGCCCAAACACTGAACGCTGTTGCCAGGTCAACTAAGCCCTAGCTAGGCCCAGAGACTCCAAAACGGAGCAAACGGGGAATATGGCTTGGTAAAATTATGAGACGGATCCCTCCGCAATTACGAAGGTATTTTCAAGTCTTTGGGAATGGACAGTGCTGAAACAAATGGACAACTGTTAGCCGCTTCTTGGTCCACATAAAGGGAACTCCAGAAAGTTGGAATATGGATTAATGGTAGGATCCCCTATAATTTACCTTAAAGGGGTTACGATAATGATATTCCAACTTTCTGGCTTCTGCTGTGCCCTATGCCGTGGGGCTTGCAACAGTGTTGGCCTTGAGATGAGCCAGTAAACGGCCACTGTACCCTGAACCCAAGCTCTTGATCAGGCCATACTGTTGATGATATAAATCCTGCATGACCTTAAGGACCCTAAACTATGGGAATTATGGTATATTCCTTATTATGGGTCATGCAGGATTTATATCATCAGCCATACCACGCGTTAGACATGTGATCATTGTCTCGCGGGGTCTGGATTGATGTTCCTTCGGCGCTTAGCCGCGGCTGGCAGACAAACTAAACTGTTTGAACACCCCTACTGCAGCTTAGCCCCCAAACCCCAAACTGCCGGAATTGTGTCCGTCGGCTTCATGTACTGTAATGTAATGTAAAGTATAGGGTCCCAAGAGTAGGGTTTAGGGTTTAGGGTTTAGGGTGGTGTTTGGGGCTTGAAGCTTGGAGTTTAAAGTCTTGCCTTCTTGCAGGGCAATACGCTGCGCTGCACCTTTAAGCCGGCGGTGTGGAGCGATAATATAGGGGTCTTTATGATTAGAGTAGGGTTTTGGGACCCATTATAACATACTCATATGAAGGAGCCCTAAGGGATAATATTGATAATTATGCAGGCTTCTATATTAGTAGAGCTGAGGGGGTCAAAGACTGCAAAATGATTCTGAGAGCTATTGTAGAACAACAATAAATTTCACTTGGCAGCGGGTCTCTTTTAAACTGCAGCAGGTCTCTTGCGAACCGGAAGCACCGTTGCCTTGGCTCCGGCCGTGGCTTTGGCCTTTGCCCTGGCCTTCGCCTTGGGCTTTGCCGCATAATCGTAGCATACAGCTGCTTACTTTGCAGCGGGCCTCTTGCGAACTGGAAGCACCTTTGCTTTTGCTTTAGCCTTGGCCTTTGCCTTGGCCTTTGCCTTGGCCTTAGCTTTGGCCTTGGCTTTGGGCTTTGCCCGAGGCTTTGCCTTGGCCTTTGCTCTCTTTCCTTGCGCCCTGGCCTTCGCCGCGGCAGCTTCAGCCAAAGCCTGGGACAGAATCCGGTCATCCTCCTGAGATCGGCCCAGTTGCTCTTTTACTCGCTTACTGTCACCGCCCCAAGCTGGGCTTCCCCAAGTTACGACAGATCCATCAGCCCTGATAGCAGCAAAGGCCCCGACGGTGGCTTGGATGCAGGTGACGTTTTTGAGCTGCCCTTGCACCGCACCTGTGCAGCCTCCGTATGCCCGCACGCCCCAAGCAATCACTGATCCATCCTCCCGTAGAGCAGCGAAAGCATCTGAGGTGGCTTGGATGGCTTTGACATTCTGCAATTGGCTCTGAACTGCTGTCGTATCTACCCTCCTGTCTCCCCAGGTGACCACTGTCCCGTCGGAGCGTAATGCAGCGAATGCCGAAGATGAGGCCTGAATCTGCACAACGTTCACCAGCTGATGCTGGACGAGCCTGCTGTTATCACGACCAAGGTGCCGGCCCCATGTCACCACGGCTCCATCCTTGCGAAGAGCAGCGAAAGCCAGATCGTCGTCAGCGCCACACACCTGTATGCAGGAAATCTCTCCCATGCGCCGGAGCTCAGCAGCATCTAGAGCTCTAGACCTCTCTTCTTCAATAATCGGGCCCAAAAAACTTGTTTGAGATAGACCAAATATATGAAGAAAAAAGCTTAAAGTTCTTCTATAGGTCATCTAAGAGACTTGCTGGAGGGTTCATGAGAATGAGGGCCCCAGGCCGCGAGCTGCCCATCTTTGCTCACGGCCGCCCAGGCACTTCCGCAACCCTGAAAGTGATCCACACCTGAAAGCGTGGTATTGTATATCTCCGGTACCCTCTCGTAGTCATAGAGCTCCATGAACCCCCAAGACACCACGTGGCCACTTGCAGTAATCGCACTGAAGCCCTCTCCGCAGCCCTTGATGTGCACAACGTCCTTGAGCTTGCTTTGCACATACTCACTGTACCCGCCCATATCGTCATCCCCCCATGTCACCACAGTTCCGTCGGTGCGAAGAGCGGCAAAGGCCCTTTTTGCTGCCTGGGCTTAGAAGCTTCAGGTTCAAGGAACCCTAGGCATCTAAGGACTCATATATTAAGGCTTTTGGGCCCAAAGACCATATTATATAAGGCTTCTGGGCTATTTTAATGCCAAGGGTAAGAGTTCGGGATTTTAGTTTAGTCAGTGTATAAAAAGTGGGTTCGGAGGTACATTCTGTGTAACTTTATAAGGCTATGAGGAAGAATAAGATGCGAGGCCTAAGCCCTAAACCCCCCCCAGTTCAAAGTAAACCTTCCGACCCCCATATTTGCTCAAGGTTTGAAGGGTTTGGGGTTTAGGGTTCCTATTTGTCGGGTATCACGGGAACTAAAGGTTAACCTTTTTGGTTTTATAGGGATTATATAGGGACATTACTACCCAAAAAAGGTTAAAGGTTACCAACTCTACTACTAGGCCTTCAGTTGTCATATGGGGCGGCCAAACCCTGAGCCCTACAGGCCCGACAGTAAATCCCCACAAAGCCTCTACTACTACCTTAAGCCGGAATAACCTACCTTTTTAGGGTTCCTTAATGATTTCCTTCTATAAATCCTTAAAAAGGTAGGTTATTCCGGCTTAAGGTATGGGTTTGAAGGTGTTGAGGCCTCAAAGGTTTAGGCCCCAGCTGCCTGGACGAGCCGCACATTGTGAAGTTGGTCACGCACCTGTCTTGGGGCTTGGGGAGTGTACCCAGAATACGGCTCTTTCAAGGGTTCCTTTAGTGTTTAGAGTATAAGGCTCCGTGGTACCCAAACAGTAGATACTTTGGCCTTCAAGTAGTCCCCATATAGACCCTAAACCCTAAACCCTAAACCCTACTTCGGGGCGAAAGTATATGTTATTTGGGTACATGGAACCTCAGATTTAGGGCTGAAGTAGTTTGGGGTTTAATTGAGGCCTTCGGTAGTTTAAGGCTCCAAGTTGGGGTTTCGGGTCACGCACCTTACTGCTGTCTCCGCCAGCATCGCGTCGACCCCAGGTAATCACAGACCCATCTTCTTTGATAGCCGCAAAGGCGTGCGTTGCTGCTTGGATCTGTCGCACATCACGAGCTCCGCTCGGGAGAGGACATGAGTGCTCATCTACGTCGCAGCTCTCATCTTCTTCGGCGAGGTTGCCCCATGAAACTACCACTCCGTCCTCTCGCAGGGCAGCAAAACCACATTCGGCAGCCTGAATCTGCAGCACACCATGCAACTGGTGTTGCACAGCATTGCTGTCGCCACCACTACCAGGACAACCCCATGTCACGACGGAGCCGTCTGCCCGGATGAGAGCAAATGCTCGATAAGATGCGGCCACGGCCACAGCCCGGGTAACGGCTGTGATGGTGTCACCATCGTCGACTCCGGATTGCGTCAGTGTGCCACATCCGCCTAACAGCGTTCCAGACGCACTGGTAAGTTTCCCCAAAGGTGTTTGCAGAGCTCTCTGTGCTTTCTGTCGCAGATCTGCCACAGTTGCATCTTTAGGAAGGGTAACGGTTGCGTGGGTGCCACTGAGAAGGGTCACTGTGACAGAAATGGACATGGCCTGCACAAAACTAACGAACGTCACAACCCAACCTTCATACTTGGAATATGGTTTTGGGGCCCATTCTACTATACTAACTTACAGTGAAGAACCCTCAAAATAGTCCCAAACCTCAAACCCCCCTAAACCCTAAACCCCAAACTAAAGTCCAGTAGGTCTTCCAAGCTTGTTCTGCCTCTGAGAAAGAAGGGCTGCCACAAACCTTCCTGCAATCACGCGCAGCTCAGAGGGTTATAAGGGTTCTATAAGGGGTTAGGGTATAAGGGTCCATGTTCCTTTAAGGGTTCTATAAGGGTTCTATAGGGTTTAGAGTATAAGGGTCCATGTGCCACTTTGAGGGTTCCTTTAAGGGTTCTATAAGGGTTCTTAGATAAGGGTTTAGGGTCTGAGGGTCCATGTATCACTTTGAGAGGTCCCTGAAGCGCTCTATAAGGGGTTAGGGTATGAGGGTCCATGGCACCCAAGCCCTGAACCCAAGAATGGCCTCTATGGTGCAAAGGCCTTAAGAATCATAGGGATCCTTAGGGGTGTAGGGGGGAGGGGTGTAGGGGACTATATTTCCTTAAATAGGCCTTATTAGTCCTTATTATGGGCCTTAAGGCCCCCTACCCCCCCCTCCCCCTACACCCCTAAGGATCCCTATGAATTCTGAAGCCCTCAGAAGCCCTTTCAAAGGGGAAAAGGAGGGACCCTTAATGGGGACCCCTACCCTATAATGGGCTATATAATGGGCTAGGGTTTAGGGTTTAGGGTTTAGGGTTTAGGGTCAATGGGCATATAATAGCTATATTAAGGGGGGTCCTTATTTAAAGGTCCCTCCTTTTACCCTTGGACCCTTACAAAACCCTGTAAGACACTCATAACATCAAAAAGGCGACCGACCAAACTCGATACAAATCATACTTATTTCCCGCAACATTTCCTTATATAGCCCTATAACACACTGTTGCTCATGAGCGCTTGGATGAGGTTATCGGTAACTGGCTTGCAGCGGGAACTGAGTCTAATGAGAAGGTTTGAGTTTAAGGGCTGAGAGTTGAGGTTTTCGTACAAGCTCCTCTTGCGTGCACAGTTCCCTAAGGAGGTCCCCAGCATGAATCCAAGGACTTGTATGATGTGCTTGTTGATTAACTGTACATTAAGGTCGTCTCAACTTGTGGCTTCTACATGCCTAAACGTTAAACCCCTAAACCCCCAAACCCTAAACCCCTACATGGGACGAACCAAGGGTCAGACTTGAAATTTAGTGGTCGCAGATCTGGAGCATACAGGAGTTTGCAGGATACGTTTCGGCTACGGCGCTTGCAGAACGGGACAACGAAACCAAGCTAGACCCTAGCAACGGGCCTGAATTGTGAGAATGAGGGCTTTGAACACATGCTGTAGTTCTATGTAACATAAAAACTATGAAAGTGGAAAGTGTTAGTTTTCCTGAAGGCTCAAAAAAGGCCAAAAGACTTACATAGTATGGTCTTTGGGCCTTAAAACCTTTAAAAATGGGTCGTTAGAGCCTATGCTGTTTCAGGAGGGGGGGGGGGGGGGGGGGGGGGGGAAGGGGTTCATTTCGTGTTTCCTGGGTCTACCTTTAGGATCATACCCTACCCCTTTTTTGTGTACTTTTGCGGCCTAATTTGTGGGGTGTATTATACCACAACTATAATACGGAACCCCTGCAATACTATTGGTAGTTGTTTAGGCCCCTATATCACTTGCTTGTCTACAGAACAGGTCCTAGTCATGAAACTAGGCTCCTAAAGCAAGGCAACCCTTTAAAGGAGCCCTTCCAGGACTCCAGGGTCTTTTTGGGTTTAGGGGTTTAGGGGTTTAGGTGTATATATAAGGGTTTAAGGGTTTAGGGGTTTAGGTATATATGGGGGTTTAAGGGTTTAAGGGTTTAAGGGTTTAGGGTTTAGGAATTAGGGTTCAAGGACTCTAGGTAAGGGCATGCTAAGGTTTCAGGTGTGCCACCGGCTCCCAGACCTGCTACGGGGCTTAGACTTGTAGAATTCCCTAACCCTAGGCATCTAAGGACTCATATATTAAGGCTTTTGGGCCCAAAGACCATATTATATAAGGCTTTTGGGCTATTTTGATGCCAAGGGTAAGGGTCCAAGTACCCAAATAGTAGGGTTTCAAGGTCCGAAAACCATTCAGAGTATGGATTTTGGGACCTAAAACCCTACTATTTGGGTACTTGGACCCTCTGGGATTCAGTGGTCGTTCCAGAAACATTCTCTACCAGAAGATCACTAAACCTACCATTTTAAGGTTCCTAACAACCGATGAAGAGGTGATCGCCTACTATTGTGCAGGGTTTTGGGTCACGGATTTAGGGTTTATAGGATGCAGCAGTGCAGAGTTTTGTTCGTGTTTCTGTGGCATTGCAGGTCAAAGCCGAGGGGTGTCGGGAAGGAGATGGACGTCCGATTTCTGATCTGCGCTAAGCTACCAGAGCCCTCAACCTAAGTCCTACAGTTGGAGGTTTAAATTTCGGGTTTAGGGGTTTAGGTAAGATCCATGGGAGCCCTTGAACAAGTCCCTGGCTATAGAGTTGCCGGTTCGGGTCTGCATGGAACTGAAATCGCTGCGGCTGCCTTGATGGGTTCTCAAGTTCTGGAGTAACCAAGAAGGCGGCAGTAGAACGTCTTATGACTCGGATGGCCTCACGGCTCCTCTCCTACACTGCAGAGCATAATCCCAAACAGCTGAACAAAATGGAAGTCTGTGTGTTGTTTTCTCTTTTGCTCTGTCTGTATACGTAAACATAAACGGCTTGACATACATACATATATATATATATATATAGTCACGCGCTCCTTGGCCTCCCTCCCCCGCAAAGGTCAATGGTCTGGATATAGGTGGGCCCCCCCCCCTCCCCTCTCCCCTGTGGTGTAAGCTTTTGAGTTTTGGGTTTACGGTTAAAAGGTATCAGGCTGCTGTAGGCTTAGGGCTTTCATTTTGGCGGGGTCTAGGGTTGGAAAGTTCAGGTTTAGGTGAATAAAAACAGGAACATGCGCATTATGGCTTGCGTAGGGCTTGCGTGTGACCCGTGGCCGCCCCAGCACCAACCCCACCATCTAGCGGCAACAGCTCCGATCCCTATCCGAACACGCCAACCCCCTACCCTACCAGACCATATCATTGGGGGGGGGAACGCCAGAGTCCTGACCATATGGTCATGTATGTGTATACAGGTATACATGTATGTACGGATGTATGTATGTACGTATGCATGCACAAATGCACAAATATGCACAGTCCTTCTGAACCGAAGGTGACCTGAGCACCTGAAACCCTAAACCCTAAACGCTTGCTGTCCAAGACTCCATGGGAGGTTCGACTGGATGAGTATGAGAAACCCGGAACTTCCTGCTCAGGGTTCCTTTGAAGGGTTCCTTGAAAGGGTACCTTTAAGGGCTACTACAATGGCGACTATATGGGTTCAACAAAATATCGGGTGAGGGGTCGGGAGTTAGGAATCAGGCTTAGATTGGGTTTCGGGAATTAGGGTTCCTTTGAAGGGTTTCTGTGAGGGGGACTAGACAGCAACAGTAAGAAAGAAAGCACTACACCCCTGAGCATGATGCAACCCAGAATTAGGCCAGAACTCCCTTTCATATAAAGACAAACAAACCCTAAACCCTAAAACATTACCTACCCTGACCTCCGCCTATGCAACTCCCAGCCCTAAACCCTAAACCATCCCTCAACTTAGTAGTAAAGTAGGTAACCCTTAACCTTCATTCGGGCATTATATCAAAGGGGAAAAGGAGGGACCCTTAATGGGGATCCCTACCCTATAATGGGCCAGATAATGGGTATATAATAGCTAAGCTATATTAAGGGTATATACCTAGGGGTCCTTTTTAAGGATCCCTCCTTTTACCCTTGGGTTAGAACCTCTACATAATCCCAATATACTCTCGAACGTTAATCTTTAGTTCCCCAGGATGCGCGACAGGTAGGTAAACCTCAACCCCCTTAACCTGCACCCTTCATCTTTAAACCCCAAACTCTAACCCCTTCCAACTTGTGGAACCCATAGAGACACCTTATAATGCGGTTTAGGGTTTAGGGTTCAGGGTTTAGAGTTTAGGGCCAGAACTAGGTATCGATTTCAACCGTCCGCAAAACTATTTTTTATAGTTAGGGCTCCAGATTAAACAAACAACAAGGGGAATTAAAAGTATCCCAACTCGGTACCTGATGTAGTAGCTCTATAATTACCCTAAGCCTCTGAACCCTGTTAAAAAGCCCCAAACCCTAAGCCTAAACATTAAACCCCTAAACCCTGAACCCTAAACGCCTAAACTAAACCGTAGAGACTTCTAGAGGTGATTCAGTTGATGATATAAATCCCGCATGACATTAAGTACCCTAGACCTAGACTAAGGTAACTACTGTAAGGTATATTCATTATTGTGGGTAATGCAAGATGTATATCATCAACCGCAGCCCCAGGTCCGCCTCTCTTCATCTTCGAACTGCTCCGGGTCTTCTTCTTCACCAGGAACCTACTTTTGCTCGGTTCCCCATGAGCCCCGCAACACGGGCCCAGTCAAGAGGGAAGCTTATGTAAGCCGCGGAAGTGCTCTTAACATAGAAATCCTACACTACCATAGGAGATCATGCATTAACTTCCTGTGACCCCAAACCCTACATAATAGTAGGTTATGACCCCTCAATTAGAGGGTAGAACCCTTGAAACGGTAGGGTTTCGGATTCCCAGGTTGGGACCCTTTAGGAACAACATGGGAGTTTCTGAAAATAGGGGACCCTAATGTAGCACCCTAAATAGTAGGATCCTTACTATAAGGACCCCAAATCAAGGTACCCCTAATTTTCGGAAACCCCCACATTGGGCGGTGGTCTGAAGAAGCGATTCATGGTTCAGGCTTTCACCGAAACATTCCCCAAAGACACAACCCTAAATCCCAAACCCCCAACTCTAAACCCTACCTGTAGCCTACGAGCCCTATCTTTTCAGTGTCTCTTATAACGGCGTATATATGTAATTCCTTAACTAGGGCAGTCTGCTTGGGGTTTGAAGGTAATAGTAAACCCTAAAGGCAATCCAAGTGGCCGAAAAACGCTCCATAAAAAGAGCAATGGGCACCTCAGCTTCGACGCACCGTTTCCTTTCTATGCGGGCTTAAGGGTTTAGGGTTATGGGGCTTGGGGTTTAGGGCTGAAGACTTAGGGCTTAGGGTTTATGCAAGCAGTCCTGCTTCTACCTGAATTTGTGGGGTGTAGGATTCGGGGTTTGGCTTTTAAGGTGCAAAGATTGAATACGTTGACCCCAGAAACGCTGAACCATAAACCCCTAAACCCCCAGACCCCTGAAACCCCTAACTCTAAACCCTATGATTGCATAGCAGCAGGCATTCAACGGATCGTAGGTCTCCCCAAGCAGCCACTCCTTCGCCGAAGGGTTTGGGTCAGGGGCCTTAATGCGTAGAATAAGGCGTTCTCAAAGTTCCTCTACAAAGGTCTGTAAGGGTGACTATCAAGGGATGCTGTGGGGTCTAATATATGCACTTTGATAACTGGAAGAATGTGGTTCAGGGTTGGGTATACATTTTACAAGGACTAAAAGGGGATGGTATAGATAATTTTCCCGACCTCGACATTAAGGAGCACAGTTAAGGTTTTCAAGTATTGAAGTCCCGGGTAGGAGCTTAGGGTTGGGGTTTTAGGGTTTAGGGTTTAGGGTTTAGGGTTTCGGGTTTAGAGCTTAGGGTTTAGGGGGGTTTGGAGTTCAACGGTTGGGGCTTCACGGCTTAGCGTTTGGAGTTCAACGGTTTGGGCTTGAAGGGTTTCAGTCAGGGCTGAGGGTTTCGTCGGGGTTTGCTGACAAGCAGAAAAACCTTGTCATCTTGGGCGGGGGCCATGTGACATTAGAATCTCTAGCAGCAAGCTGAAAAGCGCCAAGCACCTGAAACTTTGACGCTAAAACGAAAACCCTGAACCTGAAGGACCTGCTTGTTATGGAGTTTTGTAACCAAGAATGACAGCACGCGAAAACACATCGGGTTTTCGGTGTAAGGTGTAGTGGTTTGGGGGTTAAAGTTTAAGGCTTAGGGGTTTAGGGTTTAGAGTTTAGAGTTTCGAATTTTAGGCTAGGGTTATTGTGTTTCAAGAAGGTGCTCTTTGCCCCTGAGGATCCACGTGCCTGTCCAGTCTATACTTTGGCCTTAAGCGGTTCCGGTTACTTTGTAGGTGCGTTCCACGATTTCACTACATAGGTACTCTATGACTCTATGCAACCTTGCTCATTATTGAAGCCGTGCTAAACCTGAAAAAACATGTAAAACCTGCATGGGGAAACCTCAAAGTGAGCGGACCGCTTTCAAACAAGTCACCTGCCTCAAAGCATTACCAATGCTGTTCTTAAGAGTTCCCAACACATCTATGTTGTACGTTGAATCGACCCAAACCCTAGGCCTATTCTGTCTCGTAAGGCACCTACAACCCTTACAGTAGAAAACCCTACTCTGGCAATTCAGGCCAATACAAGCACCCCAATACTGCCCTCGGCTGGATCGGAAGCACAGACCTACATGGGTTTAGGGCTGTGGCGTTCAGAGTTTCCGGAACAGTCAGAGAGTCTTTTTTCGAACACGGTTTAGGTTTAGTTTAGCGTAAAATTGCTTATTTCTTTGAGTCAGATGCAAGGCTGAAGCAAGGGTTGAATCCATGGGCCCCTAGTATGGGCCCTTTAACCTTGGGATCCATACATACCTACTATATACCCTATATAGACTCTTACGGGTCCCTAGAACTCCCTCAAAAGGCCTGAGGGTCCATATTAGGGGCCCGCACTGCTAACCTTAAACAGAAGATGACTACCTGTACCTATCCTGCACTATTTTCCCAAGACAAGACGAACCCTACAGCCGCAAAGGTTGTTCTTCGGATTATCGCATTGGATCGGGGAATAAACTGCTGACCCGCTGATTCACATCACCCTCATAGACACCTACTACCCCAATAAGCCACAGAAAGAAAAGGTTGAACTTTCCGATTCCTACTAAACTAGGTATTGGGGAAATAAGTAGATCTCTCAAGACGCCCTTCGGCGGCCGTTATAAACTGGGCTTCTAAGTTCAAGGGAGAAAAAAGTAAACTTTTATAAACTTTCATTTCATAAAGGTTCCTTTTGGAAACAAGTATTAAAGTATGCTACGCCAGAGGCCTAAACCCTAAACCCTAAACCCTAATTCAAAGCCCCATGCTCCTCGACGATGTGAAATGGCACAGATCCGTTTTGCAAGAGCACTTTGCCTGGGGTGGCGGGTCCCAGAGCTTCCAACATCCCTTAATTCAGGAATATACCTTAAATTCCAGTACAGACCTTCCCAAATCCCTGAATTCAAGTTAGAATATTGGGATCCTACTGGAATTTAAGGTTTTTTCCTTAATTCAGGGATTTTGGAAGGTTCGGGGTTCTAGGGACATTAGGGATTCGGGTAACCCTAAGCCCTAAGCCTGACAACACCAAACCCCAAAACCCTTCACCCAAGTGCCAAAACCAAGGGTCCCTAAATACCTACTATATGCCCTATATAGACTCTTAACCCTAGGCATCTAAGGACTCGTATATCAAGGCTTTTGGGCCCTATATTATATAAGGCTTTTGGGCTAGTTTGATGCCCAGGGTAAGGGCCCCTAGAGCTCCCTCAAAAACGCATGTTAGGGGCCCATACTTCTGACCTTAGACTAAAGCCGATCTGAACCCTATGAACGGTCGGGTTCCGCGTTATGAATTCCGTCAGCAATTTCCGTAAAACGCTGGGTTCTTCGGGTACTAGTGGGGAACCTAGGCGTCTGCCCAGAGACTCCAATAGCGCTTAATCAAGGAGTACTCCTTAATACTTAAGTCTGCATACTTAAGGATCCTACTATGGTTTATTTCTTACTTAAGGGATCTTGGAGTCTCTGGGTGGTGCCCCGTGATGATCGGCTTGCAAGTCAGGAGCTCGTTGTTTTAAGGATTCTCCTTAGGGTTTGGGTTTGAAGTTTAGGGGTTGAGGGTTTAGCCGCGTGCAAGCAAGGTACCGTTGGGGATAGAGACCCTCTCAATATACGGTTATTACTTTTGCGAGAGCCAGAAATGGGGTGAAGAAGGCCCTAAACCCTAAACCCTAAACCCCTAAACCCTAAACCCTCAAGAGCAGGATAAATAGAAATTGTGTGATTTTTGTATCGAACTGCATTTGCATTAGTTTCAAACTTTCATTAAACGTGTCCAAGCAAATTCCAGCCCAAGCCTCCCAGGCCCAGCCCCAAGCCCAGCCCCCACCAGCTAGCTCCGCCCCCAGCCCGCCACTCCCAAAATGAAAACTTCACATTAAACGTGTCCAAGCAAATTCCAGCCCAAGCCTCCCAGGCCCAGCCCCAGCCCCCACCAGCTAGCTCGGCCCCCAGCCCTTCAAATCAAAAGCCAAAACCCGCCCAAAACTTCCGCGCAAAACTTGCGCCCAAAACTTCCAGTTCAGCTACCAGCCCAACCCAGCCTACCAGCCCAACCCAGCCTAGCCCTCTCAGGCCTCCCCAACCCAGACACCCCAGCCAGCTCTGCTTCACCCAGCCCAACCAACTCCCAGCCCAACCCAGCCCCAAACCCTCAAGCCTCCCCAACCCCCAGCCCTCAGCCCCCCCAGCCCCCCCAGCCCCCCCAGCCTCCCCAGCCTCCCCAGCCTCCAGCCAGCCCAGCCAAGTCCAAAAATCAAAAAGCAAAAGCAAAAGGCAAAACCCGGCAAAACCCGGCAAAACCCTGCAAAACCCCCCAAAACTCCGGACCCAAACCCTATACAATTTCTATCAGCCCAATTCCAACCACTTCAACCCAGTCTCAGCCCTCCCCACGCCACCTCAGCCAGAGCCCCTGGCAGCCAGCCCGGCCACAACCCCAGCCACCAGCCACCCCACCAACCCCAGCCAGCCCCAGCCCACAAGCCCAAACACCAAAACACAAAAGCAAAAGCGAGAACCCCCCAAAACCCGGCAAAACCCCCCAAAACCCGGCAAAACTCCGGACCCAAACCCTATACAATTTCTATAAACCCTAAAACCCTGTAATATCTTCGGATAAGGCTTCTTGCAAAAAGCGAAACAGCTAAACCCTAAACCCGTAAAATGAGCTTCGTGTAGGAGTCAGTTCAGACACGAGAGAGGCTTAGCAGCTCAAACGCCCAAGACCCCAAGACCCCAACTCCCAAAGGCTCCATGTGCCTTTATAGTAGATACTTAAGCCTCAGAGGGGTCCCCCTATATGGGAGTTTACCAAAATGGGGGACCCCACTCTAGTACCCTAAATTGTGGGATCCTTATTATAAGGACCCCTAAATAAGGTAGCCCTAATTTTCGGAAAGTCCCATATAGGTACTTTACGGCCTAAGTATGTACTGTATGGGTACATGGAGATTTAGGGACTCCCGAAGTTCAAGAAATGAGCATCTTCGTGTTTGCTTGTGGCCATCTGGGGGTGTAGAGTAGTAGGGGTTTAGGGTTTAGGGTTTAGGGTTTAGAGTTTAGGGGTTTAATTAGGGGTTTAGGGTTTAGGGGTTTAGGGTTTAGGGGTTTAGGGTTTAGGGTTTAGAGTAGTAGAGTGTAGGGTTTTGGTGTTATTATGATGTGTATGCGTAGGGTTTCGGGTTTGGGGCTCCATACACCCTTGTCCTTTTAGAAATAATAGACAGAGCCCTAGACCTATATCCCTTAGTAGGAATTATTTCAGAAGGTCTACTAGCCGGTCTGTTTATTCTTTTGGGGGAACCATGAAAAAGGACAAGGCTGGCTCCATATGTCAATGTGTGCATGTGAGTTTAGGGCCTCAGGATGCTATCTGGGAGGTTATGGCACTACACGACAATGGCAATCCAAAACCAGTGCTAGTAGTCCTAGTAGCAATGAGTACTAGTAGTAGCAGTAGTAGCAGTAGTGCAGTAGTAGTAGTAGTAGCAGTAGTAGTAATAGTAGTAGAAGTAGAGTCCTACCTGCCACGTGGTCAAGAGCTTATGGCAGAGGGTCAGCATTTAGAGTGCAGGGGTGTTGACATGATGCGTGTCCCTGAACCCTAACGTCTGAATCCTAGACTAACCCCTTAAACCCCCAAAAGCCTAAACTCTAAATCCCCAAACCCGTAAAAAAAGCTCGCCCCTGAACACCTGAACCCAAAAGCCAAATGCTAAACTCAAGCGGAACCTTAAGACCTCGCTAACACCATTCTGAACCCCTCTCAAAGAGCCCTGTAAAGGAACCCTTCAAGGACTCCAGGGGTTTAGGGGTTTAGAGTTTAGGGGTTGCAGGGTTTAGGGCTTAGGGTTTAGGGGTTTAGGGTTTAGGGGTTTATGGGTTTAGGGTTGAGGGGTTTAGGGCCTTAAGTGGGCCATGAGCTGAACGTGCAAAAGCCTGGTTCCTAAACCCCAAGCTCTAGTCCTTAAACATAGCACTTACACGAAGGCACAATGCACCCAAATAGCATATACTTTCGCCCCCGAGTACCTGTATAGGGACTACTTTAGGGCCATTATGGTCCCTTTTGGGTACCCTAAATATTAGGTGCCGTATTATACTACGGATCCAAAAAGCGACCCTAATATTGACAACCACCCAATACACTATTTGAGTACATGGACTCTTGGGGTTAGAATCTGAAAGGACCCTTCAAAAACCTCGTTTGCTCAGATCTCGGGTTAGGGTTTGGGGTTAGGGTTTAGGGTTTGGGTTTGGGGTTTAGGGTTTAGGGTTTGGGGTTAGGGTTTAGGGTTTAGGGTTTAGGGTTTAGGGTTAGGGTTTGGGGTTAGGGTTTAGGGTTAGGGTTTGGGGTTTAGGGTTAGGGTTTGGGGTTTAGGGTTTAGGGTTAGGGTTTGGGGTTATTTGGAGGGATCCTTGGATAGGGTTTGGGGTTACTTGGAGGGTCGGTGGACTTACTCAGTAGTTATTTTAAAGAGTTGTAAGTCCCATTACCCCAATTAGGATCCTTCTTAGGGTATTTGTAACTCTACTTGTTACCTACTTACGAAGCCCCCCGACCCTCCAAGCCGTGGCTATTCGCGGGTTAGAGTTTGGGCCTACACGGTTGATGATAGAAATCCTGCATTACCTTAAGGACACCAGGCTATGGGAATTATGGTATAACATTCCTTATTATGGGTAATGCAGGCTTTTTATCATCAACCGTAGTAAGAACCGCAAGCGAACCCAGCAAGTTGAGTCCTAAGGTCTTGGCTAAGTCCCAGACAGACCCTGAACTCTAAACCGTGATCTTACTTGGAGGGGCAGGGGATTTAGTAAGTCGTTAATAAGTAGGGTTAGAATTGGGATAACTCTACTTATAACCTACTTACTAAGTCCCCTGCCCCTCCAAGTAACTTCTGGCTTGTAAACCCCCGCACCCTTACCCAAAGGTCCAAGTGCCCAAATAGTCGGGTCTTTGGCACCGAAGACTAGTATTTGGAACCAAAACCCTACAGCATTTGGGTACTTGGACGCCTGCGGTTATAGAACTCAAGAGAATTTTTCCCATCTTTGGGGCTAAATACCGTAGCCCAAACAAGTTGAATCTTTCAAACATGGCAGGATTATAAAAAACCCAGAAGGTTAAAGGCCGCCTACTCTTATAGGAACCCTTTCAGGTTTACGAGAACATGTCCCCAAAAACCCTGAAGCTTAAACCTTATACCCTAAACCCCCCAACCCTAAAACCTTAACCCTCAACCCTCAAACCTCAACCCTAAACCCTATAGATCCCTTCAAAGGGGTCCTTATAGATCCCTGGAAAGGGGCCCTTATAGATCCCTTCAAAGGAGCCCTTACAGATCCCTAAACCCTACTTGGAGGTTCATGGGACTTAGTAAGCACAGTTCTAAATAACTACCCTAATTGGGATTATAAGTACATATCAGTGTAGTTGCCTTTTAATCACATCCCGAGTTACTAAGTCCCATGAACCTCAAAGTAGACCCTAAACCCTAAACCCTGTAGATCCCTCTAAGGAACCCTATAGATCCCTCTGAGGAGCCCTATAGATCCCTTTAAGGAAACTCAAAGTGACTCCGGAAACCTCAACCCTAAACCCTATAGATTCCTTTGAAGGACTCCTTATAGTTCCCTATAAAGGAACCCTTAAAGAATCCCTTTAAAGGAGCCAGTTATGGATCCCTCAACCCTAACTCCTGAAAGGTCCCAAAAAAGTGACCGAGAGACTGGGTCCCTCCAGGCGAAGCTCACCCAGTTCAAGCACCCTGGCCGCTCGGGTTTCGGGGTTTAGGGTTTAGGGGTTTAGGGTTCCTTTAAAGGGATCTATAAGGGTTCCTTTAAAGGGACGGTTTAGGGTTTAGGGTCTGGGGGTTAGGGGTTTAGGGTTTAGGGTCTAGGGGTTTAGGGGCTTAGGGTTTAGGGGTTTGGGGGTTTAGGGTTTAGGGGTTTTGGGTATAGGGGTTTAGGGGTTTAGGTTCCTTTAAAGGGATCTATGAGTGTTCCTGTAAAGGGACGGTTTTGGGTTTAGGGTAGAGGGTTTGGGCATGAGGGTTTAGGGTTTAGGGTATAGGATTCAGGGTTTCGGGCACATGTCGTTTAGGTATTAAGGATTATAGGGTTCGGGGTTTGGGGCTGAGGGTTTGGGGTTTAAGGTTTGGTTTAGGGTGCAGTGTTTGGTTTAGGGTTCAGGGTTGCGGGGGTGAGAGTTTAGGGTTTAGGGCTTAGGGATTACAGGGTTCAGTGATTACAGGGTCGAGGGTTTGGGGCTCAGGGATTGTAGGGTATAGGGTGTAGGGATTATAGGGTATAGGGTTTAGAGTTTGCGGATGCGGGTTTAGGGTTTACCACCACCCCCAAGTACCGGTTACCCGTTTAATGGAGTCCTTGTGTTCCTGGATACTGGTTATTCAAGTTGTCTTAGAGGTTGGGGGGTGTGCTGGTAGAGACGAGGGTTTATATTAGGGTTGACGGGTTGTTCAGGGGTTACGGTTTAATTAAGGGCGCAGGACAGAGTAGCGTGTAGTATAAGCGCTCTTCAAACGTTCTATATGGGCCCCTGAATGAACATGGACTCTTGGGACATTGTAGAGCCTGAGTTTCGTCCCGATGCAAGCCGTTCATAAAGCCCTCGTATGTGCCCTCATGAAGCATGTTCGTTTATGTGAGCCCTGATTGATGCAGCCTCGCGAAAAGCCTCCTGGCCAATGTCTGCATTCCTGGTCGGACTCGGAGTGGCAGAGCAAAAAGCCATGGGTCGGGTCTTAAAGACTTATGGAACGGTTTAGGGGAATTTATAAGCATTCTAACAGGATTTTGCGGTGTTTCTATGAGTCTTTCTCAAGGCTACGGCTTAGGGTTTAAGCTTTATAGACCGCTTAATGAAGGGATCTGTAAGGGATGGGATCTTTTAGGGATCTATAGGGCTTATGGTTTAGGGTTTCCCAGCAGCCTGAAGAATCCCACTACGGTTGTGGGGTCAGAACTTTAGGGAACTTTGTGGAATGCTGCTAAAGTACTAATACATCCCACCCTCAAAACCACGCCTTCAAGACACCTTTATATAAACGTCTAGGTCTAGAACCCTTGCAGAAAAGCCTGGAAAAGTTGTCACACTGTTGATGGACGAAATCCTGCATCGCTTTTCTATGTTAGTCGTCCCTTCCAAACCCTAAGTCTCAAAATTGGCCTCTTACAACACTTAGAAGGGGCATGTGCGCGAATGACCGAAATCCTGCATCACCAACCCGCTCGTGCAACGTTGAAATTAGAGGGGCGCGGGGGAGCTCCGACTGCTGACAATGACATGCTTGTCGTGTTGGGGGTCATGCAGGATTTTGTCCATCCAGCATATGACTAACTTTCGCCCCTTGCAGTAAGCCAGACCCTCCCACTGCATGGTAGCAAAGTGCAGTATGACAATACTTGCTGACTACTACCCTAAGCCCGACATCCCAAAACTTCACATCTTGCACCGACATGAACTAGCACTCTAATCCGTGAAGTACCCTTGACGCACCGGCACAGCGAGAGATCAAGCGACGTGAACCCCTGTACGCGCAACAGCCTAAACTCTACACCCTAAACCGTATGTATCTTAAAGGCTCCATGTGCCCATATGGTAGGTACATAGGCCTTAAAGGGGTCCCTATACAGGTGCTTTAAGGCCTAAGTACCTACTCTATGGGTACATGGAGCCTCAGGGTCTCAGCCCTGCCCGGATCTCAAGTGCCGGAAAGCATCGCGCGTGTGAAGGCATGGCATCACGTGATGTAAGCCCGAAAATTGCCCCAACTCCGCCTTGAGGTTTCGGGATGCAGGGTTTAGGGTTTAGGTGTTTAGGGTGGTTTAGGGTTTAGGGTTTAGGGTTTAGGGTTTAGGGTTTAGGGTTTAGGGTTTAGGGTTTAGGGTTTAGGGTTTAGGGTTTAGGGTTTAGGGTCTACTTGGAGGCCCTTTTGACTTAGTAAGTAGGGTTAGTAAGGTGGGTTATGGGGCTTATAATAGGGTTTCTAGGGGATACTAAGTAGACTTACTAAGTCAACAGGGCCTCCAAGTAGGGTTTAGGTGTTTAATTAGGGTTTAGGGTTGGCTCAAAGATGTCAGGGTTCGTTTAAAGGGGTTTCTATAAGGAGTACTATGGGGTTCCTTTAAGTGTGCCTGCGAGTACTATGGGGTTCAGTATACGGGCCTTACTGATTTGAAAAGGGTTTCGGAGTTTGGGGTTTAGCAAAAACTTAACACCGGAGGGGGAACGGTCGTGTGCTATCGACCACAGACGGTTACTTTCCCGAGTTTGCGCTAGGTTGTCTTCTTCAAAAACCTCCCTCCACAAAGAAACAGTTGACACGCCGCTCGCCAAGAGAGGTTCATAATGAGCAGACGCACAGTCTCCTTTGATCTTGGCATCTGTAAACATGATCCGCTTGTTTCCACGGAAGCCAAAAACGATCCACTTCATGTTCAAGGCAAAAGCCTTGAAATGCTCTCTTCACCTGAGTTCCGAAAGTCCTTGGGGCGAACGTGCCAATTATCGACATACTGACATTACCCAAAGGCCCCAAAGTAGTTCCTTTTTGGGTTCATATGTAGAACCCTATAAGGTAATCCCAAAAAAGGAACTACTTTGGGGCCTTTGGGTAACCCTGAACCCTAAAACCCTAAACAACTGAAAACGAATTGGCTCAATACTCTCGGTTGATGCATGGCTCTAGACTCCAAGCAACTTCAGGTTTAGGTTTCAGGGTTAGGGCTCGATGGAAAGAAGCCGCCAGCAAGCCCTCAGTCATGAAAATTCGAAGGCATAAGCGCACATCGGTGCCTAAACCTCTCCCCGTCACCAAAAGCCAAAAACACTATTATGGAGTGCCTAGAGCTTTCCTGCTTATGTTTTGGGAAGCTGCGGAAAAGCGCGACGAGCATGGCCACGAACTCTACCTCCTCAAAGGTGTAGCTGTCATTCTCATCAAAAACACCTGGGCGAACAGTGCTCATACTCTCCCTTGCCACCGGCGGTCTCTAAATCGCCTCCTAAGCCTCACCAACTGAATTCCCAAGCGCGGTAAGTAGTTGGAAGCCTAACGGGGAGGCTGTAGACTGTAGAAGCATAGCCCAAGCGCTTGACCCTAAGCCACATAGAGTCAAGAGCTTGACAATAGAAGTTCAAGCTGATGGAAACAGCACAGCTCATAAGGCCTCATAAGGTCCTTCCGAAACCCACAACAAACGCCTAAGAAATCCAAGACGAGGTCTTCAGTATGTTCCACCCCTCATGGTCAAAGTGGCCCGGAACCCTAAACCCTAAACCCTAAAACCCTAAAACCCTAAACCCTAAACCCTAAACCCTAAACCCTAAACCGTCCTAAACCCTAAAACCCTACACCCTTATGGTCAAAGAGGCCCGAAAGCGGGTTTTATCTGGCGCCTTAAGGCTCGGCTTCAACGGTTTCGGGGCCCAGAGGGCATGCTGTAGGGGCCCTTTAATTAGGATACCCTAAGGGTCCAAGTACCCAAATAGTAGGGTTTCAGGGTCCAAAAACCATTCAGAGTATGGATTTTTGGACCTAAAACCCTACTATTTGGGTACTTGGACCCTTAGGGATATGATTTTGGGGCCCACTGTACTATGAATATACTAACATAATAAGGAACTCCCAAAATAGTAAAGGTAATGATCAAAGCCCCTATACTAGAAGGTTTGGGGTTCAGGGCCTGAGGGGCTTGAGGGCCCAAAACGCATACAGCTGGAGCCCGAGGGTATAACCGGGAAGTGCGACCCAACTGATGTTTCTCTTTCACACAGCCACGGCGCAACAGAAACTGTTTGATGTTGGCCCCAACGCCTTACCCTACATCCTAAACTCCACGAGTCCTTCTAAGGTTGGTGCTTAGAGTTTATTATTACGTAAGGACATTACAAGGGTTCTACACGGGCAGACAGGCACCATCAGGGCTAAGAGTTTAGGGCTTAAGGGCCTGTATAGTTATACAGTAAGTCCTATGGCCTGAAAGGGATAGGCTCGTAGAGGTACGTCAGAGTCTGAATATGTAATATAGAGGTTAGAAGGGGCCCCCACCCTGTAATAAGGGGATAGTAGGAATATAATCGGGCCCCAATATAATCCTTGTAGTCACTATTACAGGGCGGGGGGCAGCTTCTAATATAGGGGCATCAAACAAGCATGCACTATAGAGAAACTCAGGCCAAAGTCCTAAACCCAGGTAAACTGCCATAGTGCAGTTGCCATTTGGATCTCCTCAAGAACCGGCTTAGGGTTTAGGGTAACCCCTAAGATGCATGGACCCTACCTGTGACGTAGGTTATGACCCCTTAGTTCACTAAGGGTCCATGTACGCAAATAGTATGTACACTGGCCTTAAAGTAGTCCCTACATAGGTACATTGGGCCCAAAGTATAGACTATTTGAGTACATGGCCCTTTAGTTAGACTAGGACACCCAGTAACCTAAGAATAGAAAGGCCTCTCTTTTTGGTATTGGGTAACTTTATAAGGAACCTAGGACTACAAAAAGGGAATAAGGTTACTACTGGGCATCCTAGTAGAGTTATAGGATCCTTAAGGGAGGGAGAATTAGGGATCACTAGGCTATTATATACCTCCCTTGGACCCCCCTCCCTTAAGGATACTACAATAGAGGGTAGAACCCTTCAAAACGGTAGGGTTTTGGATCCCCAGGTATGGCCGAAAAAGGCTTCGGTACAAGAGGCCTAAGAGGTCCCTCATAGATCCCTTTAAAGGAACCCCTAGGTAGATCCCTTTAAAGGAACCTTAGGTAGATCCCTTTGAAGGAACCCTAGGAGTCTTTTGAAAGGAACCCTGGCCCGGCCTAAGAGGAATCGTATCTTCTGCTTCTTGGAGATACCTCAGCAAGCAAGATCAGTGCAAGACTCGCCTCGGTGATCTTTAGGGTTTAGGGATTTAGGGTTTAGGGTTTAGGGATTTAGGGTTTAGGGTTTAGGGATTTAGGGTTTAGGGTTTAGGGATTTAGGGTTTAGGGGTTTAGGGATTTAAGAAGAAGCACCCTTAACTTGATGCCATGCTTAAGGTTTGTAGGACTTAGGGAGATCTAGGGTTGTTTTGTTGAAGTTGTGAACTGATGTAGACCCTAAACGCCGGAACCAAAGCTTTCGGAGGTGCAGTCCTTTTTGGGTTTAGGGTTTAGGGTTTAGGGTTTAGGGTTTAGGGTTTAGGTGCAGTCCTTTTTGGGGTGAGGTTCCGGGTACTGTGAAGCCTTAACAACTAGAATAGGGCTCTGCAGTACACCTTCACTATTTTGCCATGGTACAAATACGGATAGAAAGGGAACCATAAGGAATAGCATTGGCAACCACTGAGGCTTCTGAAGTACACTGGTGGCGAGGTATCTGAACGTTCAGGGCATTGGGGCTTCGAGACTTGCCTGTCTGTGAAGTTGGTGTCCCGCAGTACGCTTGCACTTGTGCACTTGTGCAAGACGCGGCCATGAATGAAAGGAATTGCAAAACAAAGGCGGCACGATTGGCACTTCCACTAGCGAAGACACCAGCAGTAGCAGCGCCTGCGCGACCGCGACCGTGCCACCAGTACCAGCAGCACCCACAGCACCAGCACTGTTGCTACTAGTACTACTAGTGCGAATGCTGCTACTGCTGCTATTACTACTACTACTACTACTACTACTACTACTACTACTACTACTACTACTACTACTACTACTACTACTACTACTACTGCGCTGGGTGCTGGTGCTAGTACTGGTAACCGTTCATGTGCTCGTGCTGGTACTGGTGCTAGTCCCTGTGCTGGTGCCAGTACTGACACTCGTTTGCTAGTACAGGAACCAGTACTGGTGATAGTACAGATACTAGTACTGGCGGTAGTGCCAATACCAGTACCAATACTAGTAACACGGCTACTACTCATTGTGCTCTTCCTGCTGCTGCTCTTATCGAAGGAGCTGGGGTTGGTGCTTTGTCGGGTTTTAAGGTTCAACAGATCCGCCAGAGAGCTCGATGCAAAGCTGAGATGCTGGTGGACATCCAAATGCAGGCTGTCAGGAAGGCAGGCATGTTGAGCCGCACCTCGGTTCAAGCTCCAAAGGATCCTAGCAGACCTCAAACTGAAACTAAACCATGCAAATACTCAAAGAACCTTTATCGAAGCCTTGCAGACGTCGCAAGGTAGCACGTGCATGGGTCGCTCTCTAAACTTTAGGGTTCAGGGTTGATTGGTGGCCATGACCCAAAAGCTACCTGTAGACCCCTTAATTAGAGGGTCTGACCCTCAAAACGGTAGGTTTTTGGATCCCAGGTAGGGTTTAGGGTTTAGGACCCCGAGGCTGCGACCCCGGACCCCAGACCCCAAGGCTGCTAGTTAGTAGGTTTAGGGTTTAGGGTTTAGGGTTTTAGATAGGGTTTAGGGCTTAGGGTTTAGGATCCCTAACTTAGGGATGGAGACGGCCAGCATACACACTAGGCCCTGGTTGCAAGTACTCCTCACCAGCTGCTTTGGGCTTCAGGATGGTATGTTTTGAACTCCCTAAACCCTAAACCCCAAACCCAGAACCCTAAAACCCTAAATCCCAAACCCTAAAACCCTAAACCCTAAAACCCTAAACCCTAAATCCCTAAACCCCCAAACCCTAAAACCCTAAACCCCTAAACCCTGAACCCCTAAATCCCTTCTAGTAGACCCTGTGGATCCCTTTAAAGGGACCCTATAAACCCCCTATAGATCCCTTTAAAGGAACCCTTATTAAACTCTAGAAAGCTCGTGGGGGTTCGAGCCTGGCCTTGTTGTAGTCCTGCGTGGCCTTCATCATCTGCAACCTGGGAGTTTGCCGCAAATTCGCGGTCCCTTAGGGTTCCTTAAAAAGGGGGCCTCTAAGGGTTCAAAAAAGGGATCTATAAGGTTCTATAAAGGGTCTAGGGTTTAGGTTATATGGAGTTTCCGAAAATCAGGGGGAGTACGATAAGGGTTCCTTTAAAGGGGGACTACAAGGGGAGCATAAGGGTTCCTGTAAAGGGCTACTATACGGGTTTAGGGCTTCCGAAAATTAGGGGGAGTACCTTATTTTGGGGTCCTTATGATAGGGATCCTATGATTAACCCTAAACCCTAAACCCTAAACCGTCCCCAATTTTTGGAACCTCCCACCTCGCGTAGGAGCTGGGGTCGAATAACTTCACGAACTCCAGCACCTGTCTCATTGCCACTATGGGCTATTAGACCTTAAGGGTACCTTAATCTACCCTTAATAGGGTCCTAATAGGGATCTTTAGGGTCTAATAGCCCATAGTGGTGGGCCGTGGCCCAAGGGTTTAGGGGTTTACGGTTTGGGGTTTAGGATTTGGGATTTAAGTTTTAAGGTTTAGTACTTAGGGATTGTAGATTATGACTTAGGGATTGGGGTTTGGGATTTAGAGCTTTGCGCTGTGACAGGTAATGTGGGGGCCTTAAGAGTTAGAAGAGGGTTTTGGGGCCCATTTTACCATAATTCTAATAAGGAACCCCCAAAATAGTATAGGCAATTATTAAGGCCCCTATCCTAAACCCTAAACCCTATAGATCCCTTCCCCTAGGGTCCAAGTACCCAAATAGTAGGGTTTTAAGGTCCGAAAACCATTCAGAGTATGGATTTTGGGACCTAACACCCTACTATTTGGGTACTTGGACCCTCTGGGTTCTTGATCCCTTAGAAGGAATAGGAACCCTTAAGGGGCCTTAAGGATCCCTTTAAAGGTATGACCCGGCCCTTGTCTTCCTTTGCGCTTATTCCAACTGCTTAAAATGCCACTTCTCTTGGAGAGGGCATCGCGGGCCATACTCAAGACATGCGAGGCGAACGTCCCATGCTGGATTTCCCAATGGAAACCGCGACCATATGGAGAGAGGGTGACTTGGACATTCGGAAAGCCCGACAGAATCCAGCGTAGGTGCTCGAGCAGTTTGCATGGGTTGAGCCGTCTCGTGAGGTAAAACGTACCGATCGATATGTGCTGTGCTCCTTCTCCGGGCAAGTAGTTTAGGATTTAGGGTTTAGGGTTGAGGGTTTAGGCTTCAGGGTTTAGGCTTCAGGGTTGAGGGTTTAGGGAGAAAAAAGTATAGACGTTCATTTCATAATGGCGCCCTTTAAGTAACAGGTCCCAAAACAAGCGTTGAAGAATGTTACTCCCATGTTCTGGTTAGTTCGGGCTGTGTTTGCTGAGGCTTTTACGGGACTTTGTGGTCGACCGGAGCTTCAGGAAACACCCAACCAACCCTATTGGCCTGAAACAACCCACATGTTTAGGGTTTAGGGGTTTAGGGTTTAGGGGTTTAGGGTTTAAGGTTTAGGGTTTAGGGTTTAGGGGTTTAGGGTTTAGGGTTTAGCTAAACCCCATTAACCCCCCTCATGAATACCCTAAACCCTATAGATGCTGCGTTGTTCACAACCCCAGCCGCTAAACCATCCTACACCCCAAGACCGGGAAACAATACAGGCGCTTGCATAGTTTGAAATCATGGCGGGGGGGTATTATAGTGGAACTGCAGAGGCACCATAGAAGGACATTATAGTACTTATGATTCGACCGGTACAGTATTAGACCTTATATATCCCTAGTCCTTATCCCTAACCTCTAACCCCAGACCTCTACACGCAAAGCCCCGACCGACACACACACACACACGGACACACACGGCGACACCTTCGCCATCGGGATTGCGAGCAGCTCCTGCTGAGTGTCTCAGGGTTTGTGTGTGCATGTGTATTTCTGAATATGAGCGTAGACCCTACACAGTGATCACACCCTTAACACTTAAACCCCGGAGCCCTATACACCCGAAACTCTTACACCCAAGCTGCCACTCTTAAACTACGGTTGATGATATACATCCTGCACTACCCATAATAAGGAATATACCCTAATTCCTGTAGTTTCGGGTTCGTAAGGTAATGCAGGATGTATATCATCAACAGTAGGTGTCGATTTCAACAGTCTCCAAAATGGTTTATGAAACTAGGGCTCTATACATATTAAGCAAGTGGGGAAACAAAAACAACACAATATCCCAAACCGATACCTAGTGAGTGTGTCCTGCATCTCGAACGCGTTGAGGCAGTTCGGAGCCTGACGATGCAGATTGGGGTTGCTTTGCTACTATTTGCTTAAGGACCCCCAAAAAAATAAAAAAAGTATATTCCTTATAGGGATTATTATTTTTATTTTTTGGGGGCTTCTTAAGCAAATAGTAGTTTGGGAGACCACTAAAACAGAGAGTTCAATACCCCTCAATTGAGGAATATTCCTTAAATCATATTGGGGATCCTACGCTATCGTACGGTACATTCATTGGTGTTTGGGTCTAGGAGGACTTAGCTTTTGGGTGTCAGTCGGGTGAAGAGCCCAAAAGAGGGGATGAATTAAGTTGAAGGCGAACATATCAAAATTGAACCTGCCATGTGGGCGCATGGACCTTCAGCGTAAGCCATTGCAAAGGACTTTCTGGTTATATCCCGGCTGACTTCTGAACCCCTCCTAAAAGTTAAACTTTTAGTTTTGTTATTACAGTTCATATAGAAAGCCAAAAAGTTAAAGTCCTAAATCCTAAATCCCCAAACCCTACACCCTATGGATCTCTTATAGAAACCCCTACAGAAACCCCTTAAAGGCCCTAAAGAGCCAACCAGAAGAACGCCAAGATATAGGAGACCGAATATCCCCTTAAAGGAGCTGGGCCTCGAGAGTGTCTGCTTAGGTGCCTCTGGGTTTAGGATTTTGGGGGTTTAGGGGTTAGGATTTTAGGGTTTAGGGGTTAGGATTTTAGGGTTTAGGGGTTAGGAATTTGGGGTTTAGGGGTTAGGAATTTGGGGTTTAGGGGTTAGGAGTTTGGGGTTTAGGGTTTAGGATTTTGGGATTTATTTAGGTTTAGGAGTTTGGGGTTTAGGGGTTAGGATTTTGGGGTTTAGGGTTTAAGATTTAAGGGTTTAGGGCTTAGGATTTTGGGGTTTAGGGTTTAGGATTTAGGGTTTCAGGGTTTAGGATTTAGGGTTTAGGATTTAGGATTTTAGGGTTTAGGATTTAGGGTTGCAGAGACTGTTTCTGAAGCGCAGAAGTTTCTGAGGCTTTCGGAGGCGTCGAGTTCTCCCAGCCCGGCAGCAGATGCAGATCTGCTAAGCTTAAGCATTGTTCAGCCCTACTTGTCGTGTATCATGGGGGACTGAAGGTTAACCTTGTTGGTATATATAGGGTTTATATTATATACTATACTACCCAAAAAAAGTTTAAAGGTTACCTACTCGACTACTAGGTTGTTCAGCTGATCCTGCACAGCACTACTGTCACCACCATGGCGGGCATCGCCCCAGGTCACGACGGATCCATCGCAAGTAACGGCAGCGAAAGCACCATCAGAGGCACGGATCTGCTGCACGTTCTTCAGCTGATGCTGCACAGCGCTGCTGACACCACCATGGAAGGGGCCGCCCCAGGTAACGACTGATCCATCACCAAGAATGGCGGCAAAAGCGAATGCCGTGGCTTGGATCTGCTGCACATTTTTCAGCTGGTCCCGCACGGCGCTACTGTCACCACCACAGTCAGCAGCGCCCCATGTCACAACAGATCCATTGCCGAGAATGGCGCCAAATGCGAAGCGAGATGCTTGAATCTGCTGCACGTTCTTCAGCTGATCCTGAACTGCACTGCTGTTGCCACCAGTGTCTGGGGTACCCCAGGTCACGACAGATCCGTCCCCAAGCACGGCAGCAAAAGACCGATGGTTGGCTTGCACGTGCTGCACATTCTTCAGCTGGTCCTGCACAGAACTACTGTCACCACCATCCTCAGCATTACCCCATGTCACGACCGATCCGTCGCCGAGAATAGCAGCAAGAGCGCCGCTCGTGGCTTGGATCAGCTGAACATTCTTCAGCCGATCCTGCACAGTGCTGCTGTCACCACCACAGCGAGCGTCACCCCAGGTGACCACCGATCCGTCGCCAAGAATGGCAGCAAACGCGCCGTTAGACGCTTGAACCTGCTGCACAGTCTTCAGCTGATCCTGCAGAGCACTGGTGTCACCGCCAGTGCTAGAAGAACCCCATGTGACGACGGATCCATCGCCGAGAATCGCAGCAAATGCACCCTCAAAGAGGCCCGAGGCTTGAATCTGCTGCACGTTCTTCAGCTGCTCCTTCACAGCACTACCTGAGCTTTGAAGTAGCCAAGGAGAAAAACGTATAGACTTTTATTTCCTAATGGTTCCCTTTACCCAAAAGCCCCAAAGTAGTTCCTTTTTGGGATTACCTTATAGGATTCTATATACTACTTTTGGGCCTTTGGGTAACTAGCAGGTCTCCGAAAAAAGTATTACCTATAGTTTCCATTGTAGTTCCTTTTTTTGGTTTAACCAATTATATATTCAGGATCCTATAAGGTAACCAAAAAAAGAGCTACAATGGAGACTATACTAGCATACCCAGTAACCTAAGAATAAAAAGGCCTCTCTTTTTGGTATTGGGTAACTTTAGAAGGAACCTAGGACTACAAAAAGGGGTATAGGTAAAGTATGGTACTCGAAAGCCCAGCCACTGTCGCCTCCAGAGGCCGCCGAACCCCAGGTCACGACGGATCCATCCTATACGTGACTATAAGGATTATATTACTACTATTTGCTTAAGAAGCCCCAAAAAATAAAAAAAATATTCCTTATGGGGGTAATATAGGGATTATTATTTTATTTTTTGGGGGTTTCTTAAGCAAATAGTAGATTAGGGTTTCTTCAAGGGGATCTATAGGGGATCGTAAGGTTCCTATACTGGACTTAGAACCCTAGCAACAATCATAATTTTTAGCTGTTGCTTAGGGGTTATAATAACCAAATTTTTGAAAAAATATATTTCTAAGTACCCCTAAGCATCACCGAGAATGGCAGCAAAAGCACCACCGTCAGGGCCCGGACAGGATCGGATCTGCTGCACGTTCTGCAGCTGGTCCTGCACAGCAGTGCCACAGGCATCCTCACCCCAGGACACGACAGATCCATCGCCCAGTCGGGCAAAAAATCCGAGTCGGCTGGCAAGTACTTGAGCTTTGGAGACTTGCAGCATCAGTGCATCACCGTCCTTGACACAGGCATCTTCGACGAGCACACGTGCATCCAGGACGGTCCCAGATGAGTCCACCAGGCGCCCTTTGCCAACTTGAAGTGCGATCTGTGCGCGATGCTTCAATAGCTCCACCTTTTCATCCGAGCTGGCGTTGACACA